TCAATATCATTTTGTTTTGAAATGGTTTTTTCACAGCGCTCAAAAAGTAAAAAAAATTCATTAGTTTTTTGTGTTGTAGATCGATCTTGTTCATTTTCAATCTCATTTTCGATTAAATCCTATAAGAATAAAATATGTAAATGATTTTTATAAAGTTTTACATCAGTTTGTTGCAGAATTTTTTACATCAGTTTGTCTAAGAAATTTAAAAAAATATCATTAAAAAGTTAAACCTTTCTTAAAACTGTTAGTGTTGTCCAATCATCTGGTCCAAAATTTGGTAACGTCAAATCACCGGCACTGAGCAAATTTATTGCTTGTTTATTCAAAATAAAGCGGTCGATCATAAGAAAAGCCACGTAAATGTGAGATTAAAAATGTTGTTGGCGCACGTGGCGGGTAGTTTTTTGAAAAACTACAACTTTTGCAGAACGCTACTCTTCCAGAAAGTGAGAAATACTTCCATATTAAAGACATTATAATTTTAAAAAATTTCTTAAAAATAAAAAAAATACTTTAAGAAAAAGCGAAACAAATTTCGCATTTGGACCAAAAAGCGAAATGCGGAATGCGAAACTTTTCGCGCCAAAAAATGCGAAAAATGCGAAAGATGCGAAATGCGAAATCGCCCATCCCTGGTTCATTTGTCAAGTGCTAGGCGTCAACGTTCATTTGAAGTGCTAGACGTCAACGTTCATGTGTCAAGTTCTAGGCGTCAACGTTCATTTGTCAAGTGCTAGGCGTCAACGTTCACTTTCAAATGAGCTATTATTTGCATATTCGAATTTTTCACCCCAAAAAAGTGCTTGGTCCCCCCTATGGTTTTTGACCATTTCGAACCCTGTATCTCGGCCCATGGTTACGTCCCAATCGATTTTTTGATGTCATTCGACTCAGCTCGCCGAGCTGAGTCGAATGACATATAATTTGTCCCAATCGGAGTCTGTTTAGTATTCCGAAATTATTCCTGCGCTATTATCGCTTCCAAATTCGGATATCTGAACTAGAGAACGGATCGAGACGTGATCTCGAACGAAAATCTCGATTATCGAGATCGAGTTTTTTCGAGACATCTCGTACGATTGTCTTGCGATAAAAATTTCAGTTTTTCGAGATTTTTCAAGATTCGAGACGACACTCGCAGTCCAGTCTCTAATCTTTTTTTGGTTTACAATTTTTGAAATATATTTATTTAGATACAGCTTCATCTTGATCTGATCAATTTAGTTAAAACTATTCGAAAACATGCGGAATAAAGATTTTTATTCAAAATTTTAATTATTTTAAAAATAATTCCCTATTTTTTGCCCTACTTTTGACCGATTTCGCCCTATTTTTTCCATATTTTTGAGTACCTGCGCCCTATTTTAGTTGTTTTGAAAAGGCCACCCTAACTCTGATCAAAATTATAATACATTTATGAATGAATTTCAACAAATTATCACAAAATAAATCAATTTTTACCATGCCTTCTTTGGCATGAAATTTGTACTTTTATTTAGATTAACTGATAAATCAAGATTTCCAATGCTTTGACCAACTTTATTGGTTAATACTGTACCCTGAACAGTTCTTGTTTTATTTATTCCTATTGTTGCTATACCTCTTTGTAAGACAGAATTAAAAGCAATTTTATAGTCTTTACTAAAAAATAAAATTTTTAAAAATAAATATTTATTATTTTATTTCTACCTAAATTTATATAATACAGGAGCATTACAAGCCATAACAAAATTTGTTATCCATCCAAGTATTGAAGAAAAATAAAATGTTTGTAGAGGATTAAGTGAAAGTAAAGGCATGATAAACCGACTGCCTGCATTTAACATCCATCCCGCAACAACCATTGATGTAATAACCATTAAAGATTTAAAAATTCGCTGAGTATAATTTGCCCCTTCTAAAAATCAAAATGTTTAAATTTAATTAAAAATTGTTCTTTACTTTTATTAGCCAAAGTATTATCTGAACGATATTTTAATAAAATCCAAATTAAAATATAATTTAAAGTAGAAAATCCAATAATAATTAAAGAATTACGGAAAGACTTTAAAAAAATTAATTTAAAATTAAAATTTAAAATTTAAATCAAAAACCAATTGGCCAACATCTTTTTGATAACAATCAGAAATTGAACAGATAACTTGGCTAAAAGATAAAAATAACTGAATATTTTTGATTAATTTACGTTTTAGGGATTGTAATGCATATTTGCCAACATTGCCAAAGAATAAAAAATGCATAAATTGTTGAAATCCCTATAGAACAATAAACGCTTAAACGTGAAGATTTCTTCATACCAAAACTAAATATTAATTTTATAATTAAAAAATAAAGATAAAATCTATAAAAATAAAATTGCCAAAGATGTTGATATTCTGAAAAATGACTAATTTTTTCGATTTAATATCCCTTAAAGTCCCTCTAAATTCACGTAATATTCTGATCTTCAAATCCGTCTTAATAACACAAATATACAAACATCCCTCTTTTTAAGGAGTTAATCCCGCATGATCCCGTCCCGTACAAAATGTCGAAAAAATCCTGCTACGGGATACAGGGAATGCGATTTTACCGACCTCTATAAATAATGTTATATTTGCTTGATAGACCTTGAGCAAGCCAATAAATTAAAAATTTCTTATCATAAAATTAAAATTTTTATTGTTTTGGAATTATGTAGTATCCTCAAATGTCGCTCCTAAAATTTGGATCCTCAAAGGTAGAATCTTGATTTTATGTCTTACGTTGAAAGTTGACTCAAAAATTTAGACCCGCCCAGTTCGTTAAATTGTTATCAACTAACGTTATTGGAAATAAAATAGAAAGAAGACGATCAAATCCAATAAAGAAAGTTAAGCATAAACTCATAGTATTTGATAAAATACAATAAATGAGTAAGTAGAAACAAATATCCAAATTAATAAAATTAATTCCAGTCACAACGATATACATTGAAATTGAATTACTTGTTTGATATATAGCTGTAAATAGGGCATCTATTGCTATTAAATAATTACAACTACTGTTTAGCGATCTGAATAAAGAATGAAATATAGTAATTATTTCCAAATAGCTCATAACAATACTTGTCTTTAATCGTTATCCAAAATAGCAAAAAATTAAATATACAACCAACAATAGAAATTAACCAACGAATTCCTACAAATACTACCAAAATATAAGAATTGCCAAAACCAGCAAAAGTATCATAAAGAGTTGCTGGCGTGTTTAAATTAAAAATTGGAGGAGTACTCGAATTTAGACTCATTTAAACTTTAACTGAATTTATCTAAATATTTAAAATTAAAGGTTTATTTGTAGAATAATCAAAATAATCAAAATTTTGATTACAGTTCAACACATGCAAATGCATCAGCTTTAAGAGGAAATAAATGTTTCAAGTAGAGTACGTCGAGTACCGAGTATTTGGGGAAAATCAAAGTTATTTTCCAAATCCAAGTTATTTTCGTTAATCCGCCGATATCACTTTTAATCCGCCGAAATTCCATGATATCGGTCAAGATCCAAGTAGCTCCGGGTAGAAAATAAATGGATAATTTTATTTCAGGGATTTGTGTAGATTAAGGGGATATCGAGTGTTAATCGAGGTATGAGATGGATATCAAGGAATTCCCTCTTTTTGCGCCGCAGGTAATGCCGATATCGCTAATACGCTAATACGACACCTTTCGTGTATAGCTAATACGACACCTTTCGTAGGAAACCTGGTAATGTGAAAGTAACGTAATTTGATTAGTAGCCGAGCTAGAGCTAAAATAAAAGATAATCGAGACTAAAGAAGACTAAAATCGGGAAAAATTAAGAAAATTTTTTGACATAAATTACACAATACTATAACAAAAATATTTAGTTAACTTTACGATTACTTAAAGCAGGTGAAAATTAAAGTAGCTAAAACTTTTAAAGCCAACGTACTTGTAAAATAAGTATCTTAATGAAGTTTAGAGACAGATTACAACATTATTTAAACTCATTATTTCATACAATCTAAGTGATTAACAATTTTTATACTTTATAAAAAATTTAATAAAAATGAAAAAAATATTTTGTATAAATTAATTGTTAAAAGTAGGCATTATTTATAAAGTATTTAATTATAAATAAAAAGTTAAAATATTGCGTAGGCAATCTCGTCAAGTATTATGTATTTTTTATTTCAATTCCTCCCGCCCCCTACTTATACCAATTTTTCATCATGGAGCGGATCAGAAATCTTCGGCTCCTTATCGGGTGTCCATATCTCCCGGTACCCCTATAATATTTCTTCAAATCCACTAATATCCCTTCATCCCACTATATCACTCAAATCAACTGACAACCTCCATAATCCCGTGGTGGTATTTTATGGGTATATCACCCCCCCCCCCCCCCCCCACATTTTGGGTCTCAGAGTTTTCCTTATAAGCAATAATGGTCAGCCTTTTCTTCTTCCGCAATTTCACTTCATTTTCTTGTGCCTGGCTTATTCAAATGAGAGGCATTAGTAAAGAAAAGATTATTTTTTTGCAATGTTACCAAATAAAAATAACATGATCAATATTTGCGTTTATTCCAAAGGTACCCTTATATTTTCGAGTAGGACTCGATGGCATCTAGTGATACTTTAGTTTTTAATTGAAAAATGGTTAATAAGTGATTAAAAATTTTTTTGCGTTTTGCGTTGATTTTTGCCCTTGCGTCGCGTTTTTCTAAATACCTCTTGCGCTCACCCCTGCTCGGGACAAGTACGTATTGTTGTTTTTAAGCCATTCCCGTTCCTCGAATTAAATAGCTATTTGCTTACATTATTAACTGATGGGAAATTCCAATTACCTAGTCCAAATTGGGCATGAAACTTAATGGTTTTTTCACTGAGGCGAATTGGGCGCAGCCAAATTATAAATATATTTTTAATATCGCATTCAATATTTTTTAGTGACAATTTAGTTTATTCTCGATTAACTCTAAAATATTTTTATTTTTTATAATCCATAAAAATGTCATTCAAAGGGATTATCGGGGGTACTTATAAACTTTTGGATAATTATGAGATTCCGTTTATTGGGCTTGGCACTTATGCATTATGGAATCAAGAAGAGGTAGATCGAGCTGTTGATGCAGCTCTAGCAGCTGGATATCGTTTGTTTGATACTGCTAATTTTTACAATAATGAAAAAGAATTGGGAATTGCTTTTAAGGTTTTTAATTGTTTAATGGAAAAAAGAAATTTATAACAAAAAATTTGGCGCTGGTTTAGTTTATACGTCCAATCAACAAAAAAAAAGATTTTTCTTGGTCTTGCAAAGTTGGGGTATGGTTCCAAAACATTTCTTCATGTTCGAGATCTACGCCCACTGAGTCTAGGACCATTCCTTATCCTATCCCTCGAAATTCCAGAAAGTTAAAATCGTTTTTCTGGAATTTTTAAAAATTGGCTATAACTTTCCGAAATTGCGAGGGGGTAAGGAATCTTCCCAGACCTAGTGGGCGTAGATCCGGAACATGAAGAAATGCTTTGGAACCATACCCCAACTTTGCAACACCAAGAAAAATCCTTTTCTTTTTACTGGATGTAAACTTTCATTGGACGCATAAAAGTCGATTGGACGCATAAACTATACCAGCGCCAAAAATTTTTATGTGTTTATTCTTCATGTATTTTTTAGAAATTTCTACCCAAATATAATCTCAATCGTGAAAATATTTTTATTACCACAAAAGCAAATATTCGGTCCCCAAATGTTGAGGAAAATGCTCGAAAAATGGTCCAGAATTCTTTGGATTGTTTAAAATGTGGGTATGTTTATTAGGAAAATTGAAAATATGTTTTAATTATTTAAAGTTACATCGATCTTCAATTAATTCATTATCCGAAAGATTGGGGAACTTCTGACAAAAATGCAGAAAATTCAGATCATCGGATGAGAATTTATCGAGTTTTTGAAGAATTTAAAGGTAAAGTTTTATTGGTAAATTTGTTTGAAAAAATTTTTGGAGAGTGTGAGGATTTTTGAAAATTATTTTGTTAAAAAATATGGGTACAAAATTTACGGCAATAGTCGGTTTGTAACCCCCTCCTTTTTCCTTCCTAAAAGTAATAAAAAAATGGTCAGTCAGCTCAGGATATACATAGAACTCGTCGAGCTGTATTGAATGACACCAAAATCAACTCTTAACTTTGGTTCTATAATCTAACAATAAGACTCACTGACCATTTTTAAATGCTTTTAGGAAGGAAAAAGTAAAGGGGAGGAGGGGGGTACAAATTTGGGGGGGGGGGGTCAAATTTTGAGAACCAATAATCTTGATCTTTACTAAAGTACTTTTTAGAAATCCAGAAAATAATTTTTAACAAAATTTCTCAAAAAAACTGTCAAGATTTGTCGAAAGATCAATTCTTTCGATTGATTTTATTATAATAGGCAGAAATATTGGAAAATAGGGGAGAAATAACATCCCAGACGACACTATTATGTAGTACTAGAGGTGAGTCGGAACAGTCAGAGGTGTCGGGAAGAGCCGGAAATCGGAACTGGCTCAAAGGTCGGAAATCGGAAATCAAAAATTTGGAAATTTTTGAAATTTTGGAAAAATCATTAGTCGGAAATATTCTTTCAAAAATTGTCGGAAATCGGAAGGAAAAAACGTCGGAAATCGGAATTCCGACCCACCTCTATTATGTATCAATTCCTTATTATTTCAACTAAATTATCATGAGTTTTATTCAAAATTTGCCTAACTTTAATTTAAAATTTAGCAAATAAAATACAAATATTCCTCCATATTTTATTAGATTCTGGTTATATCCGCTCTATTGGTGTTTCAAACTTTGAAGGCCGTCATATCGATGAACTTTGGGATAATGTTAAATACCGTCCTGTTGTAAATCAATGTGAATTTCATCCACATTTAACTAGGCCTGAACTTGTTGAATATTGTAAAAAGAAAGGAATTTTCTTTCAAGTTTTGAGATTTTGTTTTTAATTTTAAAATTTTATTTAAGGCACACACTCCGCTTGCTTCTCGGTCAAAATCACTCTTTACAGATCCTGTTATTGTTTCTATTGCAAACAGACTTGAAGCTGATATTTCGGTTTTTTCTAAAAAATATTTTTTTGTATTGGGATAGAATTCGTATTTTAAATTAACCAAAAAAAACAATTTTGGCTCCTTCACCTTCCAAAAATTGAAAAAAATTTGGCAAAATTGAATTTCGTATGCCCATTCTTTTTCCTTCCTCAAAATATAAAAAAATGTTCAGTGAGTCAAAGGTTATAGAAGTTGTCACCAAAATCAACCCCCATTCTTAACTTTGGGCCGAGATACAGACCCCCGAAAATTGAAAAATATAAAGGTGGATGAAGCTTATTTTTTGGGCTAAAAATTCGAAACAAATAATAGCTCATTCGAAAGAGCTTGTCGAGCTGATTCGAGAGACGTAAAAATCATCGTAATGAATTCGACACAGCTCGATCGTTCCCGTTATTAACTTTGAGCCGAGATACAGACCGGGGGTTGTAGGTATACGAAATTCAATTTTACCAAAAAGTTTAATAAAATAAGTAAAAATTTAATATTTCAGCAAATTATCCTCTCTTTTGCTTATCAACAGAAAATTGGAATTATTCCAAAATCTGGGAATGCTTCAAGAATTAAATCAAATATTTCATTTTTGGATATTGCTTCAAAATTGACTAAAGAAGATATTATTTTGTTGAAAAAATTAAATAAAAATCATCGTTATTCTGATTGTGATGGATGGAATGTTAGATGATATTTCAAAAAGAAAGAAAATAAATATTTGAAAAAATATTCTTTTTAAATTATTTTTATTGAATTATTGATAAAATTTATCAAAAATTATAGTCAAATTAAAAAAAAAAGTCCCATACTTTAGGGCACTCTTGCCGTTTAAGGGGGCTGCCGTTCTCTGACCATTATGAGGCCATTATCTCACAATTGCCCACAATATTTGGTACGTGTGGGTTATCCCTACAAACTTTTTTTCAGGATATCAACCAATATATCAACCAATCAAACAAGATTAAATGTAATATAGAGCGTAATACAGAGCGATACAGAGAATGTAATACAGAGTTTTCGATTTTCGAGGTTTTTTTCTTTTCGATTTTAGATTTCCGATTTTCCAAATTTTGTGATATTTTCGATTTCTGATTTTCGAATTTTTGAAAAAATTTGAATTTTTGGCGCCAAAAAGTAGGAATTCTGACTTACCGGCCATCATAAATTAAAAAAATTTTCGCCTGCGGCGCAGAAAAAGGAACATTTTTGGCTTCTTGGCCTCCAAAATTCTCAAAATTTTCTCCTGCAGCGCTGAAAAAAAAAGAATTCTGGTGACTTGGTCTTCCAAAATTCTCAAAATTTTTGACTCGGGCGGTAAAAAAGGAATCCCTGATCTATTAACAATAGTAAGTTCCGGATCCGGTATATTGTAGAATTTTCTTGAATTATTGTGGATTAGGAAGCCCACCCCCATGCCGGAACCTTATGCCTGTACCGCCCAACCTTATAAGTAAAGCGGCCTAGCTCTGTTTCACTATATCAGGGGATTTTTTTACTTCCCTGGATCTCTCATGATGAAATATTAATCTTTAACTTTCCACCCGGAGTCTGGAGACACCATGAAGCGACTCAGAAAATCACCGGCTCCGGAGCCAAGAAATAATAGGTCGGAGTTGGTGCCGTAGATTCGGATAACAAAATTTTGGGTTTGGATATCCGTGACTTCCCTGGATCCCCTATTCTAGTCATTAGTTTTCCCTAATTCCTTAGAGTTAAGGTAACTTTGGAGAGGAAAAGGAAATAAAAGGAAATAAAATATGGGAAGATAACCGATAAGTACCAAAAATTTATTTTTCTTTTTTTATTAAAAATTTTTTTTCGATTTTCGATTTTCGAGGTTATTTTTCTTTCGATTTCCCATTTTCGATTTCGAAGATTTTAAAAAATATTTTCGATTTCGATATTTTTGGATTTATTTCGATTTCCGATTTTCGAAGATTTTTTTGTTTCGAAACACCTCTATGTAATATATAAAACTATAAGTAAATTATTCAAACCGAACATTCTAACTTTTTTTACTTTTCTAAGTTCTTTTAGTTTTGATCTTTTACAATGAAAATTTGGGATATTCTGTAACTGAAAAGGATGCCATTGAATTTTTACAGAATCGTTATTTAAATTTTAAAGATTATCCAACATTCTATTACTTTGTTGTTTGAACACCAAACAAATTTACTAAAAATTTTGTAAAATTAAAAAAAAATATTTTTGTTTTTCTTAGTAACCTAAATATGTAATTTATTTGTTCCTTTTCTATAAAAATATTTAAATTAATTAATTTCAAAAAAACAAAAACTTATTTTATTTCTATTTTTAAATTTTTTTTGAATTTAATAAAAACAATGAATTTATGTACATAAATTATTGTTTATTATTAAAATATTTTTATATTTTATGTAACTATTTTTGTTTTATTTCTTTTCAAATAATTAAAGAAAATAAAAGAAAATTTTTTAATAAAAAACCAAAAATTTTAAATTAAATTAAAATTATTAAAAAAAATTAAATTATATATATTTTATTTAATTGCGTGAAATATATGTCAATAAATTATTTCATTTTTAAAATTATTTAATAATTTAATTATCAAAATAAATTTGAAAAATAAATTTTAATAAATTTTTATACCACTTCCTTAAAAATTTTATTTATGTCGAGCGCCAACCAGAATTTATTTAATTATTTTTAATTTTATTTTTTTTAATTTATATGTATATTTTTTACTTCCGGCTGCCCACTTTCCCTTATTTCTAATAACCAAATAAATTAGTTCGTTATATTTTTCCTCATTTTGTGATTTTATGATATGTTAATGAGGATTAATTTAAAAATGCAGATTTGCGGATTTTTGTGATATTTTGAAGATTACGAGGATTTTTTATAGTTTCTTGTAGTTTTTAGTATAAAATGTCATTTTTCTCCCTTACGGCCTTCCAAAATACTCAAAAATTGAATATATAGTTGCTAAAAATGGAAGATACAAATTTAGATCAAAATTGCGGATTTTTAAAAATTCGAGATCGGAGCTCTGAAATAAATGGATAATTATAATTTACATTCCTTCTAAATATATACCAGGGTTGTGCCATTTCGCCGTCCGTCTTTCGCCAAAATTCCGCTTTTTTTGGACTTTCGCCTTCCGTCTTTCGCTTTTTTGAAATAACCTTCGCCTTTCGCTTTTTAAAATCTGTTTCGGCACATCCCTGATATACATATACATAATTTACCTCTTTCTTCTTTGGACTTGTGTCACCTTCTAATTCTAAAAACAAATCTTGATCCAAATTTCTCAAAAAAATTCAAAACATTAATAATTTTTAAGTTTAATTTCAGAGAACAAATATTTCAGTAAAATGTCTTTTAATCAAAGCATAAATTCATTAACACCTTTATCTTCAACTTTTCCATCACCAAATACCTCAAATACACTTTTTGATATTTTTGCTTATTCTGGAATTTCTTTTATTTTGATAACATTTGTAGGAATACGTTGGTTAATATCTGTTGTTGGGACTTTATTTAATTTATTTTTATTTTGCATAACTATTACAGAAAAGTAGTTTAATTTAAAAATTAATTTATTTTTGTAAATTAATTAATAATTAATCGAATTAATTTAAATTTGTCTTTAAAAATTGCCCATTATTTATGGAAAATGCGCTCATGTTTTTAAAAAATTAGGGGGCATTATTGATATATTCCCTGTTATAATGTGAGAGTCTTGCGTCAATGTTAATTGATACATTCACGTTATTTAGTTTCGGTTCAGACTTCTCCACCCATCTAAAGAATTTATATTTTAATAAAAATTTTTGAAGCTCAAAAAGCAGAAATTTTCTTCCTTTTTGTGTTCATCTGCGTTAAATTATTAAACACTAAACTTAAAAGTTGACTAAAGGATCGTCGGTAGAATAGTATAAGGGCAAAGTTTGCCAAATCCAAGGCATATTTTGATCCAGCTAGGCAGGATGGAAAAAATGGAGGAAAATGATCATATAAGGATTTAGGAGCCTTAGGGCACAAGTATTGGAATAATAATGGGAGAGTAGTAAGTTTTTTTTCTTTTTTTCTCGTGAGCTTTTCTTTTTTAGAAAAGTCGGTCTCGATATCAAACAGAATAGATAATATATGTAGTCATGATCTATTCTTTCCTCTATTCTGCAGTTGCCAAACCGCCCAACTATTAATACAATTTTTACTCAAATAATAATTATCAAAAATTTTAAGGCATCATTAAACAAAATTATAATTTTAATTTCATTCTTAATTCAGATCGCTAAACAGTAGTTGTAATTATTTAATAGCAATAGATGCCCTATTTACAGCTATATATCAAACAAGTAATTCAATTTCAATGTATATCGTTGTGACTGGAATTAATTTTATTAATTTGGATATTTGTTTTTATTTAATGATTTATTCCATTTTATCAATAACTATGAGTTTATGCTTAACTTTCTTTATTGGATTCGATCGGCTTCTTTCTGTTTTATTTCCATTAGGATTTGGAAACAAAACTTCTCGTTTAAGCGTTTTATTTTCAATAATAATCTCAACAATTTATTCTTTATATGTGCTTTGGGGATGTTGGCAAATATGTTTAACAATACCGAAAACGTTAGGCCTTAAAATAATATATTTAGTTATTATTGGTTTGTTACGTGAATAAGGCTGTAGTTTCAGAAACGAACTGAAGAACTGAGGTTTGGTTCTTTAGATTCTCAAGAACCGACAATCTTATAGGAAGGAGGGAAAGTATATTGAAGGATGCTATAAGCATATACCTTTTAATTCCTAAAGGTATGCAGGATAGTACATCATTCCGTTGATGATGTATAATCCGGTAATCCGAAGTTGCAGGTTCCCTCTCTGTCGCTGATTAAACTTTAGTACCAGCTGAAGAGAGATATATTGTCAAGACCAGCTTTAATATACATTTGACTTATTTATTGGAGTAAATAATTTTTTAAATATCACATTTTAAGACCTGTTATTTGTTCAATTGCTGATTGTTATCAAAAGGAAATTGGCCAATCTGTTAGAATATAACATAAAATAAATATTTACCTAATTTATTAATTTTAGACATTCCGTGATGATATAATTTTGATCGGATTTTCTGCTTTGAATTATATAATTATTTGGGTTTTAATCAAATTACGATCAAAAAATACTCGTAGTTATTTCGATAAATTACTAATAGTTAATAAAACCTTTCAGAAACTGAGGATTACACTAAACGGATTTTCAAATCTTTAGCAATCATTATGATAATGGTGCTTATTGGGTATGTTTGATAATTAACTTGAAAGGCAATGGGGGGGGGGGGATAAGTTTTAAGTTTTCCTATTATGACAAGGACAAAATATCTTCTTGGTATCCGATTGTTGTATATACCTTTTGGTGCCCTTTGTACATAAATAATAAAATCAAGGATAACTTTAAGGAGCTATAGCTCCCTAAACAAACTAGGGAAAGAAAATTTGGAAGATGGTATAAATATTGTAAAGTAAGATCACATTAATAAGCAAAATCACAAGTAAAACTAAATCACAATTGGACAATCTCAATATTCTTCAAAATTTAATACTTTTTTAACAATTAGATGGATGTTAAATGCTACAGCACATTTTATTCTACCCATACTTTCACTAAATCCAATCCAAACATTTTATATAACATCAATACTTGGATGTATAAGTAATTTTGTTATGGCATGTAATGCACCTGCTCTTTATTTATTTAGGTAATTTTAAAAGAAAATAAATGTAAAAATATTTTTTATAGCAAGGACTACAAAGCAGCTTTTAACAACCGTTTTTGGTCCCCAAAATCAACAATGACAGGAGGTGGAGTAGCAAAAGGAAATAAATCTAACAATAATCAAGTCAACGGATCTGCCACTTTAAATAAAAATAATAAAATTCAAGTAAAAATGGCTTGGTGAATATTTTTGATGAAAGAATTTTAAATAAAATTAATGTCTTGTATTAGCATATAAATCTTAACTAAAGATATATGTAATCTATTTTTGTTTTTAATTCACAAACATTAATGATACATTTCCATAAAAATTTTCAAAAGATCTATTTTGTATTTTAAATTTGTTTAATAGCTATTTGCTTAGCCGCGCTCGGTACTTTTGATCTAACCTATAAAATACATAAGGTACCGCTTATCAAGGGCTTTTCAATGATATAAGACTTATTTGAAATGGATCAGGCATAAAAAAGAAAAATCCAATTAAATTCGGTTGGCACTCAGTTTGTGAGCGTATAACCGATAAATACCCCGCGCTCGGTGGTTTGAATTGAAATGGATTGAGAACGTCTAGAATAATAACTGAAAATAATAGGGCAAGAAATTACACGAACCAATGGCAAACACACTGCAAATAAAACAAATTATTAAATATTTATTTGTGTTCCTTTTTTAAAAGGAAAATATTAGCCCATTTACATACATATTTAGATAATTTTCATTGTTTTTCATTATTTTTAAAAATATTTAGCACATACAAGCTATTTTTTTACAAAAAAACGATAACAAAATCATATGTTTATTTTATTATTTTCTCAATATTTTATAAATAAAATAAATTTTCCGTTCCATTACTACATAAATAAAATATTTTTTTAATCAAAAAATAAATGTTTTTACTTTTATTTTTCCTTTTCTTTACAACTCTTTTATTTTGGAATTTTGTATGGAAGCGAAAGGGATTACCGCCTGGACCGATTCCATTGCCTATTTTTGGAAATGCATTTTCGATAAATAAGTTGGTTTATCGTATTTTCAGTTGTTCGTAATTATGTTCAAAATCATCGAATCAAGCTGATTTTGTGTCATTTGACTCAGCTCGACGAGCTTTTCAGAATGAGCTTTCATTTTATAACGAATTTTTTACTCCGCAAATGACGTTGGGGTATCCCTCAATGGTCTTTCAAAGTTCGACAACATATATGTATCTCAGCCCATAATTGAGACCAGGGCTAATTTTGGCGTCGTCAGCTCCTTCGAATCACTCTTATTTTCTAAATCTACCAATAAAGTTATTTTGAAATTAAGCTCAATTTATGAACAATTCCAAATTTGGGCAAAGGAATATGGCCCAGTTTATACAATTTGGCTAGGAGAAGATCCAACTGTTATTGTTACTGATTATGAAATTATGCGTGATCTTTTTGTCAAAGAAGGTGATATTTATGCTGGTCGAAACTTCTTGGTCGATCTTTTTAAAACGTTTACAGGTACGGCAGATTCAACTAAACTTTTCTAATAACAACAAAGGTAACATAATTATAGGAAAAATATAAGTATATAATTATTACAATTTTTCACTTTCAAACGAAAATCTAATAATTTTTAAATTAATATTTGAAATTATTTGATAAATTGACTTCTTCCAGGAGTGATCAAACAAATATTCAATCAAATATTTGATTTTCCAACGTCAAATATTTGTTTGGTTCGATCTCTAGTAATTGCATTGAGAACAACATAACTTGAGAATTTTATTTTGATCGTGGAATACGGCAGGGCCCATTCCTGATTTATAATACATACGAGAATTCATCTTAAACAAACTTTTTAAGCCGCAAAAGGCGATTATGGTGGTGTTAGCCGTACAGAGGGGGATCCATGGAAAGTTATGCGTCGTTTCGGTCTAACGTCAATGCGTAATTTGGGTGTTGGAAGGGCTGGACTTGAAAAGCATTTACTTGAAGATATGGAAAGATTTATTGAACAAATTAAAAAGGAAATATCTGAAAATGGTGGATATAATGTCAATCTTCAAAGTAAAATAGATCGCTTGGCTGGAACTACAGTAAATCGAGTTATATTTGGATATCCATTTGAAGATGTAATTTTTAGTAAACTTATTGCCTTAAAATTAGGAAATGCCTTGAATCTAAGCTAATTTAAAGGAACAAATGTCGGACTTCTATGAATTGAAGCAACATATGGAAGAACAGGCTTTTTTGCTTTCATCAGTAACTGGCCATATGTTAATGGCAATGCCTTGGCTTCGATATTTCCCCATATTTTCGCAAACATTTAATAGATTGGACAATAATCTGTCAAATGTCTATGAATTCCTTAAAATACCGATAAATAAAAGAATTTCTGAACGAGAGAAACAAACACCTGAAGAAAGAGGAGAACCTAATGATTTACTTGATTGTTTTCTTGATCAGATAGAGGCAGGGAAAAGTGAATATTTTAGGTAGTTTTTTAATTAAATCCAACATAAGTGTATGCCTCTATAACAGTAATGACTTTTTCGAATTTTTTAAATTTCTTTAAGATTCTCTAAGTGAGTAGCTTTTTATATCTACTCGTAGGTATCTACTCGTTTGTATCTACTCGTTACCATGCGCTAAAACAGATGGTCTGTTAGTTTGACACTGATATCATGACCATATATCTAATAAAAATTTTTAACTTGAGTATTAATGATTATTTTCATTTCCAAGTTTGCGAAGTATAACACCCTTTTGTTTTGATTTATTTTTGGCCGGTGAAGAAACAACGTCAGTTACAATAAGTTATTTAATTTTATATTTAATACTCGACCAAAGAGTTCAATATAAAATGCATGAAGAATTAGATCGTTTGGAGGAAGAAAAGGGCCGTAATGGATTTGATAATTCTGTTACACAAGCTGATAGAGGAAAATTACCTTTTTTAAATGCTGTTATTAATGTAGAGGAATCGAGAATTTTTAATGAAAATAAAATACTTTTTAGGAAACACAACGTGTTTGTAATTTACTTCCATTAAATCTTACACACCGAACTATGGCTGATGCTCAAATTTTAGGAGGAAAATTTTATATTAAAAAGGGCACATCAATTATTCCACAAATTAGTTGTGTGCTATTTGATGAAAAGGTTTAAGGAAAAAATTATCAATAAAAATTCTACAAATATTTAAGATTTTTCCTAATCCTCATCGTTTCGAACCAGAAAGATTTTTGGATGATCAAGGTCAATTAAAACGTATTGATGAATTTATTCCTTTTGGTTTAGGGAAGAGGTAATTAATTATTTTTAAAAATTATTAATTATTTTTAACAGAATTTGTATGGGGGAATCATTAGCCAAAACAGAATTATTTCTTTTTACTGCAAATTTCTTTCGTCATTTTCAAGTATTACCAGTTGATCCTCTACATCCACCTTCTAGTGAAAAAATTGGCGGTAAAACAATTGTGGATACGCAATTACAAATGCGTCAATTGCAGATATAAAATTAAAAAAATAAAATATTGAAGTCAAATCGAGATTTTATTTGGAGTACAACGGAGTTCGGAGACATTTAGCGGGCACTATAAAATAAGCTCTAATTTCAATATTTCTTTAAATTTTTTATATCCGCAATTGTGGCATCTACAATTGTTATAAACCCAAAAAATTTAGGATTTATTGTAAAGCATCATAATTACAATTGTCGAATAATTGTGCGAACAAGAAAGGAATCCTGAGAAAGAAAAAATCAAAGATGTATTTATTGTCTATAGACATACATTTAATTAAATTAATGTTTATTCCTTCAATAATCTTAATGTTTAAATGTCCTTATGATTTAAAAAATAAAAATGTAGAAAGTCAAGATTTAAATAGTTTATTCGTGATTTTCATATTTCCAATACAATGAATGTCTTGCACCAGAATTATGGAAATAAAGCCGTTGTGGATCTGTTTAATGACCCCTAACAGTAATCAGTAGTGTTATCCAAACATAAGGACTTCTCCCAACCCCGAAACCGACCCGATAAAATTTTGACTAAGAACCAACTTTTTTCTCAAGACAAACCATATTAGTCTTCAAATAATATTTGATATGCGTATATTTAATTTAAGTTAAAATTTAGCACCTGCTATCAAAAAAGTATTATTATAAGAAATTAAATAATTATTAATTTTGAAGTTAAATTAATATAAATCAAAAATATCTCTTTTTTGCAGCAGGTGAAAACTTAAAATTTTTATTTGTACTGTCTAAAAATAATTTTAAATGAAAGTTAATAACCACAAAAAACTAGAAGTAAATCGTGAAATTAATTAATTATTGTTCATTTTTGAGAATTAAAATTTTAAATTTTGAGAATTAAAAGGTTTCACCTGTAAGAAGCTGTGATGGATTTCACCTGTTTGGAATGATATTTAAAATTGAAGAGAGTGCACACTATAATTATTTCTGATTACCTAGTTTATTTGCCCAAATAAAGCTTAATGGTGGTTTATACACCCACATAAACTTTTCTACAATAGTTTTCAAAGCCTTGGGTTAATATTAACACATTTTCGTGTTTTATCTAAGTTAAAAGTCAGTATATTTTAAATTTGTTAATGTTTTGTTTAAAAATGTCGCGATAACTTTAAAAAATTATGTTTGTCTTTTTGTTTAATTAAAATTTCACAAATTATTGTCACGAATAAGAATAAATACATATTTAATTAAATGAAATAATGAAATAAATGAATATTATTTATAAATAGAACAAAGGGATAAAATAACATTCATTTAAATTTATTAAAGCCACAACAATTATTTAATTAAATAATTACATTATTTAAGTCACAACAATTAAATAAATTATTTAAACAATTGACAGATATTCAATGACCGAAAATTATTCTCACGATCTATTAATAATACTTTTCCAATTAGTAATTTCAATTATCGGTATTATTTTTAATTTAACAGTTGTATGGGTAACCTACAAATACAAGTTTGTTAAAATTTTATAAATTTGAACCGAAAATTTTTTTCAAGAAAATTACAAACAAGTTATGGACTTCTTCTCTCAATTAATTGTTTAAGTGATGCAATTAAGGAGTCTGGAACTTTTTTACCCACAATCTTAATTATATTAAATACAAAAATCCCAGCTATTTATTGTTCTATTGCAACAAGCTGGCAAAATATTTTATTTGCTATAAATGCTACATTTAATATGCTGTTTATTAGCATTGATAGAATTATATCTTTAATTTTTCCTGTCTTGTAAGTCTGGGATTATTATTAAGTAAAAAGTACTCTTTCTAATAAGCCATAGTTTTAAAAATAACCCCCAGTACTTATTAAAATATACTCCAGTTTCCGAAACTGCTTCAATTTTTTTCGGTGCAAAAGTTTATCTACACTTTGCAAAAATTAAATTTTTGGATAAATAGACGGCAATATAAACATAAAAAAATTTCTGTGGGCATTTCGATTGATATTGAATATAAAATCAAAAAGAACAATATTTCTAGCTAATTTTTTCATCGAGATCTCAAATCTCGAAAATCAACGGGAAATGGGGTTACAGTACTTCAAAAAAATATTTTAGCTCCCTAGGGCCTGTAACAAAAATTCTTTTTGGGTTCATTAGAAAGCCCATAAAATTTGCTACAAAATACCATTGGTCTCATATTTGTAAACACATCTGTATAGTAGTTAAGTGTGGGATACTTATTGTGAAATTAAAAATGAGCAATTTATGGGGTATTTTTGGAGATTTTTATCAAAAATAATAACTTATTAAATTAATCGACCCTTATCTCAAGAAGTTTTTTATAGGAAAATTTAAGTTTGAGCTATTTTGTAGCAAATTTTATGGGCTTTCTAATGACTCAGTATCAATGACTCAGTATCAATGGGAATGTCCACAGAATTTTTTTGTATTTTTTCTGCCATTTATTTTTCTAAAAATCCAATTTTTGCAAAGTGTAGATAAACTTTTGCACCGACAAAAAACGAATTAGTTTGGAGAAAAGGAGCATATCATAAAAAGTTCTGGTGCTTATTTTTAACACAAGGGCTTATTAGAAAGAGCACTTTCCGCTTAATAATTGTGAAAAAAAATCATTTCATGAAAACGAAATTTCCCCGAGATATATCGTTCTAAAAAAATTTTCGGTAGGTGTAGATAAACTTTTGCACCGCAGTGTATGCCTCAAAATTGATTTTGTTTATTTTCAATCATTTTAATTGGATGTAAGGCACTATTAGTCGATTAATCTGTACTCTGCTCTAACGGATAATTTCATTTCCATTTTAATTATTTCTATGGTGGTCCCCTTTCACCGAAAGTCGGAGAATTTGAGATATTTTTTGAAAATTCCCCGCCCACCCCCCGTGGCGCTGCCTCCCCGAAAACCATTCCCCATGCCCCCCCCCCCTCGGAGACCAACCCTAATTTTTTATTTTTGTTTGTCTTGCAAGCATCCTTTTGTTACTTAGACAAAACCGAAACAAAACAGTACCCATCCCAAAAGATAACCCTGGTCAACATCTATAAAGGAATAACAAATTTAGTCCTTTTTTTACTAAAATTTCAATTCTAGTTATCACTTTGTTCTGAAAAAAGGAGCAGTTAAATATGTTTTTGCTTTGAATACATTTTCTTTAACATTTTGTTCAATTATTATGTTTTTTGGTATTAATAATATTCTTAAAGATCCAGATATGTATGCTAAGAAATTTAATCAAAAATTAAATTTTAATTTAAAAACAGAAAAGTTTACTGCAATTTACCTGTAAAAATTGGGGGAAATCTACTTAATTTTGGTTATTGGATGGCTATTTCGCTTACTTTGGTTATCGTAATGAATTATATTATTATTGGCATAATTATCAAATGTATGTTAAAAATTAGTTAACTTAGTATTATACTAATAATCTGACCTGATTAGTATTTTGATAAAATATTCATACAGAGCCAATTTTGAGTATTTAGGCCCTCAATTACGGTCTAAGCTTTTGCTTTTAATCTTTTGGTTTGGTGAATGAAAGTGTTTTTCTTATTTAATTAGGGTTGTTGGCATCGGTTGTTAAAAGTCATCCCGGGTTTTATGTTAACTTACGTTTAAATTTTTTATAAAAATCAGTCTTCTTCAAAATTTTTGATTTTACCATTAAAATTTCATAAAATTTAATAACTTTTGGCAAGAAATTTCAAACTTTTCTGTTCTAAATTAGTGGATAACTTGATTTTAAAGATATTTGATCTATCGATAATATATTATTAATTTTAGTCAAGAAAAACATCGATTCAAATTCACAACATAGTCAAACTAAACGGATATATAAATCCCTCATAATTATTATTCTCGTTATATTTTTCCTTTATTTTGTTGGAGTATTTGGTAGTCAAATGATAATTCCTTTACTAACAAATGATCAAGAGATGGAACTTTTGTATTATCAATTATTTGCCCAGCTTGTATATATATCAGGTGCTATAAATGCACCCGTTTTGTATTTCTGCAGGTAAATAATACAAATTATTTCATAAATTTCACTCAGTGTAATCCAATAGACTGTGTGATGTTAAATATAAATTACTCTTGATTATTTTTTTAAATTTTAAATAAAGCTCAGAATATCGGGATGCATTGAATAAAGAATTTCCTTGGATTGTCAAGTTCTTTCAAAAGATGCCGGCAATATACCCTGGCACAAATATTAGTACCAATGTTAAAATTGTTAAACCAGTATATCCACAGCAAAATGATCCAGTAAACAAAAACGCGAAATGATAAAATAAATTTTTATTAAATATTTTATGATTAATAGTTATATATTTATAGTAAAGCGGTTGGTCCCGTTCCCCAGTGCCTCGTTGTTTAGTTGTTGCTATAGGCAGAGTCGCGCATGCTTGCAATCATGTGTGAACTCCGCAGAGTATAGAAATAGGTGAATCGCACGCAGTAGGTGAATATAGGGAGAGCTCTTCCCTATAAGACTCGATGGATTGGCCGGCCGGCAACTCTGTTGAATGAATGAAGAAGTGATCTGCAATAGCCTATTCCATTAAAGCTTATAAACACCGCTTACTTCCTTATTGCTTTCCCAAGGATAAGTTTGTGGCGATGTTAAGCTTAGATAATGGGCGGCTAATAACTCTCTGGGAATGGCCGTTTGTAATATTCTTTGCACCTTCCTGCAAACTTCCGTTAACTAGAGAGACATTATTGTTCACGTGATTTCAGGATGATATCCGCCTTACACCTCTAACCTTCCAATAGACCGTCCCTGGTCGTTAAGATTTGACCATCCTCTACACCTCTAACCTTCCAATGGACCGTCCCTGGTCCACTTTTATGTCTTGTTTTATATGAATCCCTCAGGATTTAAATTTTTTGTAAAATATTAATACATTTGTTTTTTTTTACATGTGAGAGTCCCGCAGGGCTTATTTTTTTGAAACATGAATTAAAAATTAGCGTAACGTTGAGAGAAAAAATGTAGCGAGATTGTGAGGCGTGAAAATATAATATATGTAAGTAAAACTAGGAGAGTAGAACTAGTAAGGAAAGATATGAGTGATATTCGGTGATTATAGAATAAATTTTAGTTTAAGGTGTCTAGCCAGAAAATCATATTGACTCCCTCAAATACTAAGGATTTGTCAAAATTGATTTTAAACAGTAGGGTACTTCTTCAACTCTTTTTCATTAGTGAGTCACGCAGGACATTAATTTCTTTAAACCCCACAAGTATTTTTAGGGTGAGCGTAGGAACGGTACAGAGGTTTTGATCCTCAAGGCGGGTGTTCAAATTCTTTATTAGTACTCCTTTTCTTAATTTTAAGCATTATCGATTTTAGCTTTGATTATTTTTTTTGAGTCCATGATTTGCATGGGGAGTGAATAGTTTCTGACCTTTAGTATCTCAATGTGAAAATCAAATTTAAAACGGCTTTATAAGTGTAGGTTTGTCATTATTTGTGTTTATTATTATTTCATCGCGCTGACACTTATTAAACTTGTTTTTTTTTTAATATATGCATAGCACGGTAGACCTTTAAGATTTTTCCTTAATAAACCTCGTTCTAAATTATTGTTTCAAGGGCTCGATTATTACATATTTAACATACCTATACACGTGATCCTTAAGCACAAATGAAGAGATGCTGCAGGCCACCTCAGTGGTTTGTTTGTAGTACATCGATTTTGCTGACAAGGTTATTTAGTATTTCACCTTGCTTTTTAAGCATTTGTTTGATGATGAGTTGTTCCTCGACAACTTCTTCTAGACCTGAATTTTGTTCTTGGTTCTGTCGTTTCCTACAATTGATCTCAAAATGACCTACCTTGTCACAATAGTTGCATATTGGTTGGTTGTCCCATCGACCATAGTTATGAGCTGATTCACCTTTTAATTTGCAAGAACCCCGCGGGGTTTTAGTTTTGAAATCTTCATTCAATTCTTCTTCATATGTTAATATATTACGTGATGTGCCTTGATCGGTTATCGAGCATAGCGGACTGAACGTAGCTTTTGTGTTGGCACATAGCATTAGCTCTGCCTCTTGAGCATTTAGAAGTAGGGTGTCGAAATTATTCCTGTTAGGCCCACACAGTGTTCTTGTGAGGAATTGAAGATTTGGGCTAAGCTTTTCAAGGAAAGTTCTACAAAGCGTTTCTTCCGAGGCATTTCCTATGTGGTCTGTAGAAGTTGCTTCTATCATAGGAATTAATCTGGAAGCAAATTGCTCTACTGATTCTCCTTCATTCTGTTTGCATATGCTTAGAGCTTTGAAGATTAGCTCACGATTTTGTGTTGTGTCTAAATTTTCTTTTATTTTGTTAATGGCTCCCTCGAGAGTTGTTTTTTCAGCCTGGGGTATTTTGTCAAATATTCTTCGTGCCTTCCCGTCTAGACATACTTTGAGGCGGGCAATTTTATCACTTTCACTCCATTTACCATTGCATTCGATTATGTCTTTGAATTTCCTCGCCCAGTTTCCGAACTCAATTACTGAATTGCCCGCAAAAATTGTGAATGTTGGAGAGTTCTCTGTCGAGAGCATATTAATATAATGGAATCCCTCAGGATTTTTATAAAATTCGTTTGTGACTCCCTCAGGAGTTTTGATTGTATTATTGCTTTTTAAATAATGTAAGGATCTTTCCTCATAAGGAAAAAAAGACATTGAATTAGTCGAGATTGGAATTAATAATAAAAAATTTTTAGACCTGAAAAATTAAAATAAATGATATAAAAATAATTAAGGTAATTAAAAATAAATTAATATTTGACAAAACACAATAATGAAAGTATTAGTACGTGGAAGGAGCTTTTTTTAAGTTCAAGCTTTCCCATTGACTAATCTTTTATTGGAATGAGATTAGATAGGGTTTGTAAAAGTAATATGATTATTTACTATCTGGGAATTGTTTACATTAAAATAAAAAAGGAAGAAAATTCTATTGTAAAATTGACTTCCGATCACTGAGAAGATATTAATGTGGCTTATAGTAATAATTCCTGTGGGAAACATTTTTTGAAATAATAAAATGAAAAAGATAAAAATTTTTTGAAATGTGTAACAAAGTACATTTTGATGGACTTTGTTTTAAAATAAAATTGTAATTTTTCTTGAAAATTTTTTTGTATATTTTCGATTATAGAAAATTGAAGGAAATTTAGGCAATTAAAAAGAAAAAAATAACTTTCAAATGTTTTCTAGAGAGGGTCTGATTGAAAAATTATAATTAGAGAAAAAGAAAAATTAGGAAGAACGAGAAATAAAAAAATTTAATGTCTGCCCTCAGAATTTTAATATTAAATGGAACCCGCAAAGAAAAAATCATGAGTCGGTCCTCTCTTATTTTTGGAAAATTTGGAAAAAAAATTTCTGGGGAGCCATCTAATAATTCAAAAATGTAAGTGAAACCCGCAGGTTATGTAAGACTGTATTATTCGTTTTGAATGTTTGTCTGAGATATCAGGATTATTCACTCAATTATTATCATAGCTCATGAAATTCTAGCCGATTTTTGTCCTATACCAATAAGAAATCTCATACCAATATTTAAGATCAGTCTATCCCTATTTTCTCAAGGTCCCATGCTTAATGCTTATTACTTTTAGTTTCCGCCAAAATAAATGAGAGAATAAAATATAAAACCTTGAATATTTACTTTTATTTGTGCCCCGCGCGGATAATTGAAAATATTTTCTAAAATAATAAAGAATAAACGAGGAAAGGAAAAATATATCTCTATAATTAAACGAATAGAGAAAAAAATCAATTTCTAAGAGCGATTATAAACGAAACAATATATAAACATTTTTGAAAACAAATATGTCAAAAAAAAATTTTTGAAAAATTTATAATTATGGATATGGCCTCCACGGAGGTTTGAATTACTTATATTTTCCATTAAATTTTATAACATTCTATTTATAATTAACTTTTATCACCCAGATTGACTTTCTAAAGATATATTATTTAAGGATATCTAGCAAGATTTGTTTACAATTTTCTGATGGATTATCTGAAAACAAAAATCAATTCATTTCTATATAAATTAATTATGGTATTTCGAGATGAATTTTTTAAATAAAAAGTTGGCGAATCTATAAACCCTTTAAAAAAATTTTTTTTAGATAAGGAAAATAAAGTTGATAAACTAATAAAAGATTAAAGTAAACTTTTATTTATAATTTTAAAAGAAAAATGAGCATAGAGAGATTGCTCTTGACAAGAAAAGTGTTAAAGATATTTTTCCCTGGGAAATAATTTGAAATAACAGCAAGTAGATAATTTTGTAGATAAATTCGTCTGTGAAAGAGTTAAATGAAATTTCGAAAATCCCGCGGGATGACTAAAATAAACTCTATTTTGAAACTATTTTTTAATTCCTTTTAACAAATATCAGATTTTAGTAAGCCCAGCAATTTAGCTAATTTTTAGATGAACCCCTCAGGGTTTAATTATCTTTGAATAAATAAAATAAATAAAGAAAGTAATCAATATGTGAAATTGAAGGAAAGAAATAATATAGTAAAAATTTTTTGAAAATCCAAAAAAAATTTTCCTACACAATATTATTTTAATATATTTAGCTTTTTTGAAGAGAGAAATCCTTCTATTGGTTTTTTACCTACTTTTTCTAAAAAAAAAATTTTTTTGAAAGATTTTCTTTTTATTTTTCTTTACTTTCTAAACTAAAAATCTTACTTTCTCAGCTATATTACACTTTTTTTGGATTTCATTAAATATACAAAGGTTTACTTACAGAATCATAATTTTTGATGGAAGTTTTTGAAGACTAATAAAGAATATAATTTCCATCCTGAAAGGTCATTTCTTGTAGTTTTTGAAGAAATTTTTTGAAGAATTTCTTTCCATCTTGTGATGCATTTGTAGAGAAATAGTAATGCATGAATGTATAATAGAAATTAAATAAACATGTATAATAAGAGATAAATTTCGCGAACGCCGCAGCGTTTTAAATAATTTAACAATAAATGCATATCTGAACCATTATATAAAATTCTATGACAGGCCTATTTTTAAAGGAATTTTTTGGATTTTTTTTATGGCCTCACCAGAGGATAGGAATACTTTTCTTTAAAATTTATATTTTTCTAGTTCATTTGAATTAATTCGTAATTGATTTGATTGCATTCCTTTTAGTTTTTTCCTATTTTATTATGTATATGGCCTCCGCAGAGGTTAGATCACTTTATTTACACCCTTATATTTTTTAAAATTTTCATTCATAAATTTCTTTATTTATTATCAAAGATGAGGGTTACTGAGGAAAAAATAATAATAAATTTTTTTTAACATAAATGGCCTCCGCAGAGGATAGATCACTTTAAAATTAACCCCCTTATATCTTCTAAAATATTCATTCAAACATAAATTTATTATCAAAATGGGGGACCATGGATTTTGAGCGCAAAATATATTATTCTTAAAAATTATTCATTCATCAAAATTAAATTAAACCGCGGATTTTGAGTGCACAATAAAAAAAATAAAATCCATCTTTAAAAATTCCCCGACCTATTTCTTACTCATATTTTTACGGCAAAAGGTGAGGAACCATCCGGTGCTACCAGTAAAGCGGTTGGTCCCGTTCCCCAGTGCCTCGTTGTTTAGTTGTTGCTATAGGCAGAGTCGCGCATGCTTGCAATCATGTGTGAACTCCGCAGAGTATAGAAATAGGTGAATCGCACGCAGTAGGTGAATATAGGGAGAGCTCTTCCCTATAAGACTCGATGGATTGGCCGGCCGGCAACTCTGTTGAATGAATGAAGAAGTGATCTGCAATAGCCTATTCCATTAAAGCTTATAAACACCGCTTACTTCCTTATTGCTTTCCCAAGGATAAGTTTGTGGCGATGTTAAGCTTAGATAATGGGCGGCTAATAACTCTCTGGGAATGGCCGTTTGTAATATTCTTTGCACCTTCCTGCAAACTTCCGTTAACTAGAGAGACATTATTGTTCACGTGATTTCAGGATGATATCCGCCTTACATTATAAACAACCATCCCTTAAAATTTAAAATAACAATTTTTAATTTTAAATTATCGTTATGTTATTTAACAGCAGGATATGGGGATATCCATAAAAATCCAAAAGAAACGATATTCTGATATAATTCCATCATCGAAATTTAAAAAAAAAACTGGGAGGGAGGAGGGCCAAAAAAACTTTTAGATGGGTGGGGTATGACACAAACTATAACCAGTAAAAATATCTAAAATTAAAATTTATTTGATCAAGGCTTTTTGATTACAAAAACATTTAATAAATAAAAAGTAGGTATGTAAGCCACATTCCAATTTATTGTTTGAAAAACTCCAAAAATAGGTGTGTCGTATAATTATTTAACAGTGTTCATTTATATGCCTGTAAAAAGTTTTGAAAGCTAATTCATTTTTGATTTTAGATATTTACAAATTCTATTGTTGAATTTCTATGTCAATTCATTTCTCATTTTTCTTTAAATTTTTTTAAAAATAATATTTAACTTTTTTTATTTTTATTTCTGTCTATTTTTTTTTATTTTGTCGATTAAATGTCGAAATATGTACTTTTTGTCAATGGTCACGGCTAATACACATGTATAGTCAATATTTTTTAGCTTTACATTCTCTATGCCTTTATACATCTTTGCGCTTAGCATTTAATTAAAATTTCAAAATAAGACATTATCCCGTTTTTCGGTCATTATAAATTAAATATAACTTCCAAATTAAATTTAAAAATGTTTAACATTATTATTATTGTTCACTTATTCCTGTCTTATTTATTGAATACTATTCAATGTGACGGAGAACAGGTTGAAGTGAAAATCAAGGATGATTGGGAAGAAAAACGCGAATTTATTTATTTAAAAATGTTGAAATAAAGGAGCGTTTTTCACAAATGCGACTATTTCACAAATGTATTTCACAAATGCGACCCTCTAAAAAATCAGACAATTGTTTTCCAGCGGAATTTCTTATATCATTGTATTCATCAGATTCTGCTCTGTCAGAATCTATCTAAATTTTCATTATTACTCATCAATTTTGCTGAGAAAAATCAAAAAGAAGTTGCCTTGTTTAAAAAATACAAGTTTTAGTATTTCAGTTCTAACTAATGCCAACATTATCCTAGGATTCTGATTTTTTGCCAGAAAATGGGCAACTCTCTTAGGATCATAGAAAAATATAATTCAAAGTCTGAAAACACTTAGTGGAATTTTAATAAATATTTATTTAATTTTACTCAAGGGGGGCTAATTATTTATGACACAGCCTAAGTAATAACCAATATGATAAGAGCTTTAATTATAATATAGAGGGATTTTTGCGTCCAATTAAATTTAACCCTAGAAGAAATTCTTTTGTTACTAAAATGTATAGAACAAAGCATAGTCTATAACGTTGGTTAAATGACATTAGTCCTAGGATTATCCGAGATATACTAGACTCGACGAGAACAAGAATAACGTTTAACAAAATAGAAAGATACAATAAATTTGAAGCGCCTTTTATTATTTTTAAATAAATTCTTAATTATAAAATATTAATTTAGAAATTTAAATTAAATTCAAATTCTTTCTTCATCATTAATACTTCCATTGTCTTATCCAAAATTCCTCCCTTTTCCATATAGCCAATTTTACTCACATGTTAACTCCTTTAATAAATATAAATCCCTCTT